GTTGATTTGATTATATGGATGACATCCTCTGGGAACCCCAAAACTGATGCGCGCATGCGAATAAAAAAAAAGTTTTGCAAAAAAAAAAAGTTGCTTTCACTATGAAATCTACGTGGTCATGAAGGTTGAACAAATGGCACAGAATATGTTATGGTGAATAATCTACTCTTCGAATTCATTTCTTTACATTTTTGTCTTTTTTCCTTTGATTTTGGCATTCTACGACATTGGTATCGTTTCTAAATGTTTTCCTTGCAACTTCTGGTATATTTTTGCTCATTTAGCAACTGTTTTGCACGATTTACAGTATGGTTGAAAACTTTTTTTTGTTGGAAACGGCCGGAAATTCATGCGCGCGCGGATGTCATCCATATAATCAAATCAACATGGCCTTACAGCCTCTGTGCTGTGGGCTGTTGCTCTGGAGTTTCTACTCTGATGTTCATGTTTCCAGCAAAGATGAAGTAGCCGATGCCGGCGCCCAGGAAGACTGCGATGGCCAGCCAGCCGTTGTACGTCATGACCACCAACATCAGACAGTAGGCCCCCACCACCTCCAGTACATGCAGCAGGGACTGGGCAAGGTGGAATTTTAATCTGAAATCAACAGAAGTACTGTGATTGGGTTTACTTCCGGAAAAGGAAAACATGTTGTTCTTGCTCTGTTTCCTCTTCTTTCTCACCTAACAAATAAGGTCAATGACCTGGACCAGATGTCTGTCACCCTGGTAACTGGTGCTGTAGCAGACACCCTGTGGTGTTGACTTACATTATGTAGCAGGGCAGAGCTGGCTGCTCACCATATATTATATCATGAACGTCTTTGGGCAACAATAAACAGAGCAGTAGTTTGCTGGGATATAGACCATTATGCATTTGCTTTGCAAACTTATCCTTTCTACTTCTTTTATGTTCATGGTAGCAAAATTTCATGGTATTTGAGATGTTCACGGAACTATATGTCTGTGGTGGCAACAGGTGCAGGAAAAAAATTAAGTTGAGGAATTCACGGCACAGAAGTGACTGTGAAAACGGTGAACATATAAAAGGACCATGAAAAATATGTTTGTGTTGTGATGATTTTGTGAGAGGTAACAGTGAAACTTACAAACCAACACCAACAGTATTAATGAAGTGCACACAAAAGATAGACAACTATATATATATATATATTAGCCTGTCAAGAATGCACAAGTGTGCAAACAATAAAAGATACTACATGTTGGAATGCCCATTAAGGCCATGTTGATTTGATTATGTGAATGACATTCTACAGTACTGATGTGAGCATGTGAATAAAATAATTTGGCTTCATTGTGAATCTACATGGTCATGAAGGTTGAACAAAATTAGGAAAACACGCAGAGTATTGTATGGCAACTACTGCACTCGACATCGTTTGCCAATATTTATTTTGCAATTTGCATACACTTGCTCATTTTGCAGCTGCTTTTTACGATTTACAGTATGGTCGAAAAACCTTTTTCTTTTTATGAAAATGGACGAAAATTCATGCGCGCGCAGATGTCATCCATATAATCAAATCAACATGGCCTAAAGCTAAGGTACTACGGCTACTGTTGCAACCCAAATTTTCCCAACCCACCTCCTCCTCTCGATGTGTTCTATACTCGGTGGAAACTGGAGAGACCTGAGCAGAGGAGACATCCCCTGCGAGTCGGGAGTTTCTTGGATGTTGTTCCTCACGTCCAGCGGGTCCTTCTGCCTCCTCTTACCCAGCCACCAGACGAAGCGTTTCAGTCCCTCCAGCAACACTGCCATGGCTGCGATGGCGAGAACGCTGAACCCCAAACCGAGAGCATCTTGTACCGTCCAACCGCTGAACAAAATGGTCGCGTCGGTGTCGAAGTAAAAGGACATCCGCATATCTATTTTTTTTTCCTTCCTCGAAGTTTTCTTCGCCCCTGATATCTTTCAAAGTACAGAATAAAAGGCTCAGATGTCTTCAAAGCTAGCAGAAGACATCTAAGGTCTTAGTAGAGGTATCAAGGGAAAGTTTAAAAGTTTTTGTGCGTAGATTTACAAAGCTACGCTACGAAACGGGGTAACTTCCGCATAGCTATGCTATGTAACCTTTGACCGGTCGATGGTCCCACTCGATTTATGGGACCAAAGTTGGGACCAACTATAAGTTCAAAGTTGGGGGTTTCAGCATTGCCTCAATACAGAAAAATCACGCTCATTGGAATAAAACTGTATCCAACCAATTCATTTATTTTTTCTTAATATGTTTGATAATTCATCGATTGCTCACGGGAGTGCAAAAATTTATATGGTAATGTAATGGAGGGAGGAAATTCTCCCCAAGCTAAAATAGGACAGCCCTTACGATACTAAAAAAAGTCGCTTGGCGGCGCTGCAGTACCAGTGGTACCGTTGGCAACGCGTCGTGGGAGGGAAGCAGGCTTGTTTTATCCACATTTATTCTATGTTTATAACGGGAATGTAACAGTTATGTGTTCCGAACGCTGCCAACTGGTCATCGGGGCTTGCAGAATAGGCTGTTACAGCGTAAGTAAGGAGAAAACCTTTTTTTAACGATGTATAGCCTAGGATTTGTAGCCCCCCTCCCCACATAGAGACAGTTTGTAAAATGTGCAGTATACTAGTATTCACATAATTTGGTAAAGTGGGTTATTGTGCTGCTGATATTGTTAATAATCGCATGGAAACCATTCCATCGATGGAATGGTAAAAAAATACCTGATTTAACCTACACCATTCCATGCGATTATTAATTATATCAGCAGCACAATAATATTATACTATCATGTCATCGTTTTGCTGTCATCATAAGAAGCACCCAAGTTGGCTGGTGCACAATCTTCAATATTCAAACATGTGAAGTGAGGGGACGGTCCATTATGCTGTATGGGCCGGGTGACAGTAGCTAGGGGACAGTGCCTGAGAGATGTCTAACTCCAGTTTGCTCCTTTAATTGCGTCCCCATAAGCTAGTCTGGCACCTGTCGAATATCAGGTATTGTTTGATATTTCTATTACAAGCAGTGTAACAGGTAGCCTCCTTCGCAGACTTGTTGGGCGTCGGCCTTATGTTTTTTTTCTCTGAGCGAAAAATATTGCTGCAGAGGGAGTTTATGCCACGGAATGTTTCGCTTGTTGGAGCGCGAATCCTTCTCTCCATGGCAAAAACTCCCTCTGCAGTGTAAAAACCGAAAGGCTGTAAAAACCGAAAGGGGCGAGCAGGTCACAACCGGGAATCGAACCCGAGTTGTCCGCTTGGCGGTCACCAACGCTAACCACTACACTAAAAGGTCGCACGACCATTTAGCATGGTCAGTTAGCACAGTTACACTACTCCCCCTTTTCTTTCAAGATTCGTCCTCGAATCTTCCAAGTCCGACATCCCTGGAGCTGCCACACTTATCCTCAGTGCCAGTACTCACAGGGCCCACATCGGGCGCCACTGTTAAAACCGAAAGGGGCGAGCAGGTCACAACCGGGAATCGAACCCGAGTTGTCCGCTTGGCGGTCACCAACGCTAACCACTACACTAAAAGGTCGCACGACCATTTAGCATGGTCAGTTAGCACTGTTACAGCAGCAAAATTGTCCCTCCGCGGCATATTACTCACGTCGCTCAGAGAAAAAAAAAACATAACTCGACGCCTAACAAGTCTGCGAAGGAGGCTATGTAACAGGGATGAAACATACAAATTTGCTTGTTCAATCCCAGTCAATATCATGCTGTTACAGTGGACCATGCAACTTCAGAGCCTATCGGAGCTCAGCATATGATAGGCAAAATAATATTTTCAAACAATATATTCATTCATATATAATATAAATTTAATCTACTTTAAAAACCAGACTGCATAGCAGTGAAGCAATCAGAAGAACAAACCAGAGCTAGAATACCAGTTCAGGGAAGTGCTCATTTTCAAACACGGGACCAGTTAAATGGTCCCCCTCACCAGCCATCCTTTCATTCTTTCCCTTCCCACAGCTGTACAGAGCGCTGTGTTGTTGCAGCCCTCCCGCGCCCCGACCAGAGTACCACGTGGTGTGTCTGGGGATGTCTGGTGCCGGGAAGACCACACTTCTCACCCTGCTGCAGTGTGGGGAGACTACAGACGACATCGAACCTACCTCAGGTATTGTCTCTTCAAAGGGGACAGCCCACTGATTCCAGCCCCTATATAGAAAACATCTAAGAACTGAGCTGTCAACAATCACCTACTTGAGTGTTCAACTATTGCAAACACACATTGACAGGGTAGTCCAACTTCCAAATTGTCCATTTAGTCCAAAAATTTCACTTTTTGACCAGCGAAACATAGCACAGCAAAGGCAAACACTGCCAGAATGACCTCTGACCCCCTTGAAGACCACCAAAAGACAAGAAGATGGGATTAGTTTTAGAACTCTACCAAGCAGCCAAAACAACACTAACAGCCAGTTTTTTCAAGTTAATAGAAATAGAAATAACTCTCCAGCTGGAAAATGCCAGCAGTTATCCACACATATATACCAAGAAAAAGTTGGTTTGGCTGCACTCAATCAAAGGGGGTCTCAGACTGGGCCCTTTGGGCATGCGCCATTGGTGGCCTTTGCCCTAAATACAGGGCTCAAAATCCTTTTTTCAGGTACATGCAAAATTGCATGTGGCAAAAATTTTAGGTGCAATTTTAAAAATCTATGTGCAAAATTTTTAGTCCGTCTGCAACTGTTTTTCAGCTGGTTTGTCACAAAAAATGTTGGAACTTCCCAAAATTAAAAAAAAAATTATATAGCACATAAAAAGAATTAACTAACAGTCTGAGAGCAATAAATTATTTTTATTTTGCATATTTGTTTCCCTTGATTATCCTGCACGATATCATAAAAGCTTATAAAAGTAACATATGGTTAATTTTTGCTTCTTTGCAATGCAATGCGCCCCTCCCCCTCCTACGTAGGTGCAAACTTGCATATTAAAAATATTTTAAGTGCAAATCTTGAAAAATTATGTGCATTTTGCACATTGCACATGGGTATTTCGAGCCCTGAAATATCATCATGAAAGTTCATCTGTGTTGGTAGTTACCATGTATAGAGTTAAAACTTTTGTTCCAACACAAAGAATTGTTCCCACCTAGAGCTAAATAACTGTACTCTGCATGCAAAAATACGTCATGGCCACCTGCAGCACTTAATGAGAGTGACAGGGGTCTCTTTTAGACTGCAATACTTCTCCATCACTGTCATGCAGTACATGTACATTTGACTTTGGTACATTTGTTTGTCTCATATAGAGCCAAAGGGGAAAACAAAACAAATGCTCATTAAAATGTACCTAATTCCTACAATGCGATGTTTACTGTATTTTATTCAGGTTTCAATATCAAAGCAGTTCAATTTGAAGAAGCCATTCTCAATGTGAAGGAAGTTGGAGGTAAGTGAAAACTTATAGAAAGATACTGATTTTGCCCCCTGCCTCGGACTGGGTGTACTATTACCTTTCCCTTTGCCATCTCCATCATACATATCCTATCCATACCAGTCCTAGAGATAATGCCCTCATATTCATTGATGTGGTTCTGCAAAACATAGAAGAAACAGCAAAAATAAAGATTTGGGCTCATAAGGAAAGGTCTGCGGATTTCTAAAAAATTCAACAGCTTTGTAGTTTGTTTGTTTGTTTATTTATTTAACCAGGAAATACATGTCGCCTATTGGCGGTTTTCAAAGATTCCTGGGGGGATAACCCCAACAAAACTACATGACATTATAATTATAACAAAAGATTAAAGATGAACTAACAAAGGTCAACTAAAAATAGATAAACTCATCGTGAACAAGACGAAATTGTAACTAACTCATCAACAATCAAATGAAATAAGGTAAATAGAAGTAATTATAATCGTTCAGATATCAAATTATAATGGTAGATAGTCAAAAGGTAGTAACTTTATACAGCTTCAAACATCATTATGACTGTATAGATTGTGAAAGACTATAAAATCTGTCATTGTAGTGATGTTGTTTGCCACCTGTTGTACCCATGGTGCTCTATGGTTCCCAGCATGCAATTGTGATGTATCAAAGATCTTCTTGTCCCAGGAAAAAAATGTTGTGTTTCCTGTTTCAGTCCTGAAAAAAAATAGGGTTGGTAGGTAGGGATTATCTTTCTTTTTTTTAAAGACTTTGTCGATCACTAGTGATCCAACTTATACAATACAATTTTTTTTAAAAGTAAAACTTGTGTGAGGACACTTGTCATTTTCAATGTCAATGTTGGAAAACCGATTGTGCAACGTTTCATCACTCAAGTGTCAGATCATGTCGCTAGAAATGGTCAATCAGCTTGAAAAATTTATGTCCCTTGCAGGGGTCCACACACACAAAAAAAGGCTAGGGTTGGCAGTTTTTTTCTAGGGTCGATCGGGAACCAAGAAACGAAACCTTTTTTTTCCCCAGCCTGAAGAATTTGAGGACAGGTGGTCAAAATTGTACAATGCACTTCCAGATCATATCAGAACATCTGTACCTACCACATTCAAAACTCTTACCAAAGACAGACTGAACCAAACTTACAACTGGTAGTATATTGAATATTGTATATATGTAATATATTGTGTATGTTGATTTATATCATAGCTGGGCCGCGATAATGGGTTCCGGACCGGGCCGTACTTTACGGTACGGCCCAGGCTCCATGGCTTCCATAGAACAATTCGAACTTGTTTCGTCCTAACCGCGTGCACCGCTTTCGAAAATTCGAATACAGAATCCGGACGTTGGAACTGATGTTGTTGCATTTGAGGGTTCAGGGGCACCAACTTTTGGCTCATCTTGCATTGAAAGGCGCTTTTTCTTGGGTGGGTATGACATAAATAAAATACAACACGGTGTATTCTGCATCGCCCTCGGTCCCGGCCCTCCCACGAGTTGGGCCGATACCTCGGGCGATACGGAATACCCCGTGTTCTATTCTATGTGTATATGTTGATGTATTGTTATGTTTTATGTACTCTCTCCTAGAAGAATAGCTGCCACCCTCGGGTGGGCAGCTAAAGGGGAGTTTTAACTCAATAAACTGAACCTATCCCTGCTGTGACCAGGTGCAGAGAACATCAGACCATACTGGGACAGGTACTACCAACAGACCCAGGGCGTGGTGTTTGTCATGGACAGCGCCTGCTCCCAGGAGGCCTTGCAAACGGTGGGCGGCCTCCTGGCCGGCATACTATCCCACGAGTCCTTGAGGGGCCTTCCCTTCGTCCTCCTTGCCAGTCACCAGGACAAGATGGAAGCAAGGAGCTCTGAACAGGTGAGACAAAGCACAAAGCTGTAACTAGAAAACTGTAACTAATAATTAATGTTTACCTTCGCATATGGTCTGCTCTGTTAATTCTTACTCAAACACATTCATATATATGGTAAGACAGGAGTCTAAATCCCTCCTGGTATAAAATTGCAACATAATGTAACCCAAGACCAGTTACCATGATAACAGACAGGCTGGTTCAGGTCATTGACCTTTTTTTGGTTTGAAGAAGAAGAGGAAACGTAGCAAAAACAATATGTTTTCCTTCGGTAAACTTAGCTAACAATAACATGCAGGGAATGTTTCACTTTGGCGAATGTTCACTCAAGCCTGTGTCTTCAAACCAGTCTCCCGTAAAACTTTTAGTACGAATTTCAACTTTATGTAGTAAGAGATACATTGTATTGATGTTTCCTTATGTTTTAAGAACGATCCACGAGTGCATAACCTGCATTGATTGTAAATACCTAGTACTCAATTCAGACTCTATGCAATATAATAAAGACTTCAAGATTTCAAGAAGGAATTGTTGGTAATGTTGCATTTGCTTATCGTATATTTCTTAGATTTTTACAGATCTCATTGCATGCTGGGATACACAGGGCACTATGGGTAGCTGTGCAGGGTGCAAACAACTTATCATGACAAGATACACGCAGAGTGGACCAGACACAGCTCGGGCTGGTGATGCTGTTGTCTACCACCCGAGCATCCCATAGTGCCTTGCATCTCCCAGGATGCAGTGGGGCCTGTGAAAAAGGTCTATTCTTGCACTCTATAAAGTATAGATACCATCAGAGCATATATTGTTATTATTGTCATCATGTTCTTTTATTGATGGTCAATGAATTAATGATTCTGGGAGTGCAAATAGGAATACATATTGTATTGCCTATTTGCCACATTTTTACCTCAGACATTGATAACCTATCGGGTGTGATACAGGTGTTATTTTTTGCATAACAGATACCAGTAGCCCTTATCCAGTACACCTGCATCCAAACAACATGCGTACACAGGTCTATATTTAGATGTGGCTGTCAGAATTCCACCCGGCCATTAAACCTGTTGTTTTGTCCGTCCCGTCCAGCGGGTAAATGCCACGGATTCAGGAGGAGGGTGTTGAAATAAACACTCGAACCAAGAATGTAGCACTCTCTGCCCTAGTTCCCTGTGTTTACGCTTACATCTACACCTGTCTGCCACGGCTGACGCACACGCCACAGCCTTGACCTTGACAGTTCAGTTCCTTGACCTCTGGAAGAAAAGCCGGCTCGCCAGGAAGAATGTAAGATTCACCGCACGCCAAAGAAACGCACTGTCTCCGTTTAAGTTAACGAGAAGTGAACAATGCTCTTCCTCGTTTGTATCACCTCATTGTGAAGTGTAGAGTTGTTAAACCTGAGAAGTCTCTAACCAGTGTGCCATCTTTACAGATGTACATGTACTAAATGGGGAGGGGGGTATAAAGATAATGTGCTTTTGAGATTCAATATCAGCTGTTAGCTATGTACAGAATATCTGTATGCATATTACCTCCACAATGGTCTCATGTACATGTACCTATACTACATGTATCTATTTTATCTTGTTTCATGAGGACTTCTATACTTATATGTAGATATGAGATAGATACCTTATGCGGTTGACATGGTATACTGGGCTGGTACTAGTAGGTACACTGCGCCTTGAGTATCTAGCTGCAACCTGCAATTTGCAGACAAAAAATCTGAACAACTTGCAATTTTGCAGCCTGAATAAAAGAATCGGAATTATACATATATATTATATATATGTATAATTCTGGTTAATTCTGGTTGAATGTTGTCTAAGATCACAATTGAAACTAGCATAATGCCTGGAAGCAAGCCATTGGCTGAAGTGAAACTCATTTAAGGTACATTTTTTACTTAGATAACATGTATGCATGATGTTGGACAGGAACAGTGGCATATTTGCAGATTCTGAAGTATTTCCCAAATTGGAGATTTAGAAATTTTGATCAAGTTGCAATCTTACAATGGTAACAGAAAAAATACTGTATTTCTAGCCTTAAATATCCTGACCACACGACAAACTGTACACGTGCTTGGACCTGTCATGCAGTCTTGCACTGGTATTGTTTGTTTCTTCCAAAAATGTCCAGATGTAGAAAACGATTAACAGCTCTTTACTCCAACAGAAGGCCCTTAAGAGGTAACCATCTCAGGAATGTATTATGCGGTCAGTTGTATATTTTGGAAACTAGAAGTACTTTGGGGGATTCCTGCACACTTTTGTGGCAACTTTGATGAACTGGTGGTTCCTGCAGGTGGGTTACTAATCTTACATGCCCCACATCTTGTTATTGTAAGAAGAAACCAACTCTAATGCTCTATTTCTGGACAACCACCAAGCTCTCAGAAGAGTTGTTGAATGTACTTGGCACCGTGTGTAATCCCGAAGGGGGCGAGAACTTGGCAAGGGGAAGACGGCGGTGACAAGCGGCGATACACCGAAGCTTAGCGCCGGGTCTGCGGACGTGATAGCGAGGAAGCTCGTGTCACCCGGGGTCGCGCAACTTTAGTTCCCCGCATTCCACAGTCGTGTACTAACAGACCCAAAGTAGTTGTCCCCACAACACTCACTTTAAACGCTGTTGAAACATTGACAAGTTCAGAGGGCGGTACGATAACACGGGCCGTTGTTTTTCTTCACATGGCGGTACACGTGAGCCCCGTCCTACCCATTACTGCCATGATTACATGCATGTATGCATGCGTTAGTGCCACCAGTAGAATAAGACCACACCCGCTCTGGTGCTGTGCCAAGGAAAGGTCTACAGGCATTAACTTCCAGCATACCTAAAGTATAACAAAGGTTATGGCTGAAAAAGCAACGTTTCTCAAAAACATGGGTAGATATGTCAACGGAGAAAGGTCCTGCAAGTATTATCTGTATTCTGTATAGCCGGTATAACCGCCCTTCGGCGTAACACACCAGCTTCGCAGGCACGTGGCGCGGCCGCAGCTGGCTACATTACACCGAACGACCTGTTACACCAAGGAGCTTCTACTTGGTTACACCCATTTAATTGCAGAAGTTGTTAAAAGCTTTCTAGTGGATGATGCCCCAACTGTGCTTGGAGGCAACGAGTTCCACACTACAATAGTTCTTGGAAGATACGAGTTTTTGAACGGCTCAATTCTTGGCTGATGTAACTCTGATATTTGAAGGCATGACTGTCAACGACTTTCAGGCATAGTCTGAGACTTTTCAAAAGAAACAGTTTGGGCAGTTTACTACCTTAAATCCACTCATCCTGTATAGAAAGTTTACCATCTGGGGCTAGGTGATTCATTCTAGATTATAATTATTATACGGCTTATTTTCATTCTCAGTTTGAGTACTGGGAATATTTGCCTTAGCAAGAGAATAATGTCATGGATCACATTCAAGTAGCATAAGCTAAGGCTTTAACCTTCTTGGAACATGCAGTAGAATACTATTAGGTTACTCGGAAAGTGGCCCCACAGGACCTGAGTTGTCACCATATATGGAACCCAACATTTCTCATTCTTAACTACACGTTTGTTGGTATTTCACACTGACCTTTTCAGGAGATTTCAGCATAAAGCAGATAACACTCAGTTCTTCCCCTTTTCTCAGAAGTGCTGTAAGATGTCTTTGAAACTTTTTAAAGATAACCTGTGCGGATTGCAAGCACATTCTTCAAGTCGTCAGCTTTGGAGGTTGAAAAGCCTAAACACATGCAGGTGAAATCTATTATACACTGTAGTACGGTATTAAAGTGTTTCGAAGGTCTTACATTGATAGACGAGAAAAGTAGGGGATTGTGTCAGAATGGGTGACATTTGGTGGTAGTGATGCATACCGGTTCACTGGACTTGGATCTGGACTTAAAAAATGTTTAGGTTCAAGTCCAAAAAAACCTAAAAGTCAAGAACCGAGTCCGGACTTATTACCATAAAAGACCATTTCACATACCCCTTTCTTTCCAAACCACCTAAAACCTTCTGTAGATTGTAAAGTCTTTGCTGCAAAATGAAGAAAACATTGCCATCGGGCATCGTCAAGTACCGGCCTCCATGTTATGTGGCCAAAGTTTCACCCAGACAACATTGCAAGGTTGCCAACATGCAATTTTGTATATGCCATGGGTTTTGGTCCGGACTTACAAGTCCGGACCTGAACCTAAACCTCTGGACTTGAATCCGGACCTGAACCTGAAATTGGGTTTAGGTATGCAGCACTATTTGGTGGAGAATGGATGATGTTTTCACACGATTAAGTCACAGTTGGACTGAGAGGAATGTTTGGAGTCTCAGTGTTCTGCCACATCTTTTCTACATTGCATAGCTACATACATGTACATCAACAACAACAAAAAATTGCACTTTGTATATATGGCATGATGAGTGCAGTGGATATAGGGTCATGTGATGATAATGCATTTCATATGCCAGCTCTTATAGAAAATATCTGACTTTTATATACTTTTTTATTTCTTGCATTGGTGTAAATTTTGAAATGTTTGTGGCTTATATTTTCTCGGTGATCTCTACTTTTGGAAATCATGACAATGTGAGATTATACCTCATTTTTTTAAATACTGTACTGCAGAATTGCTCCTTTTGTGAATTGAAAACCCCCTGTAAAAACTTCCACTCCCCTCATACTAGCACTGCAAAATTAAGTCCCTGTGAAAATGAATGAATTTGCAGTACATGTACTAGTATGTAAGCTTTTCTTTGGATGACATCCTCTGAAGACTTCCAAACTAGTGCACACGGCCGGCACGGGCAAACAAAAAAAATTCTGGCCAAAAAAAAGATGCTACTAAACCACAGGAATACAAAGCTGGTATTGTGAATTTGCGGCAGTACATGTGCACTTAGTGACATATATGACAAGACTGCACAATCATGCTGGATTTTTGCGGAATTTATGAATCGGCACTGTACATGTACATATATGTAGTGAGATCTTGAGTCGTGGAGCTTCGATAGCCTGGGTGCCCGGCTCTGTATTGTCATAACTACCATGGACTAGTGGACATGATCTTTTTTTTTTTGAGAACAGACGAAAATCAATGTGCGCACGGATGTCATCCATAAAATTAAGTCGGTGTGGCCTTACTCAGAAATAATATGGAAACCACAAGCTTGGCACCAGGTGTGCATACTCGCAGTATCCCTTTCATCTTACATTTTGAATGTATCATGACTGATTATTAAACCTTCCCTTACAGCAATGCTACCTGCGGCCTTGAATAACGATTTATGATAAGTAAAGTCTTTGACATTTTGCTACAAATACATGTATCAGGAAGTACTTAATATTTTACAGATTAGCCTAAATGTTGCCCTAAATTCCTTTGAAGCCGTTAAATCATATAAAAGGCATATCAAGCCAATGCCAAATCCTACTCCACATTGCTTTGGTTACCTTGATGTCAACAGAAAAACAGTTTGCATCATATATGATTATTGTATATAGTAGAGGATATCTTATGGATAAGGGCCTTGTGTTAAATAATTACTAGTATTTAAGTGATATGTCAGATCATATCTAATATATGCCACGTCTCCTAACCTTCAGGCACAAAATGCCATTACAATTACGTGCTCAACAATTTCAAAAGTTGCAGTGTGCAAATAGGGAAATACAATGTTCATTTAAAGAATGTTTAAATCTATATAGACTACTAGTTAAACCTCTAATTTTGCAGCTGACATATATTCTGTACATAGTTTGCTGCTTATATACATATAATTTGTACGTAAGATGACTTTATTCATACGTAATACTTTTGTTTGATCTTAGTTGTAATAGACCAGTTAGGAAAGTCCCTGTACTTTTGTTGAGTCAAGAATGAATTGTAGTTAAAGTTCAATAGCTAAGACTTTCTCTCTTCACACAAAAGGCTTATTCCTCCAATTTTGTTCTCCAATTTGTTTTAGTCCGTTACGTCCACGCGACTATTCAGAGTAAAGCTACCGCCATGATCCACTAATGCATTAGTAACACTATTTGACGCGCGACAAATGTCAAAGGGATGAAGTCATTTTGTGTTGTGTAAATATCAGTAACCGCCTTGATAATTTGCGACATCTTGTCGTATTGTGGGATAGAGCTACGTGTACAATGTCATGAATACTGACCTTTTCACTGAGACCATCCCAAGTGATCATCACTGCATTGTTGTTGATCCTGCATTGTCGCTGTCACTGTCAACACATTGGGTCAAGGATTCTCCAACAGAGTCATGCCCAGTGTTGTAGCCAGCGTCTGTCTTTCCATCAGTTTGACAGAATTTTGCAAAAAAATTTGCCCAATCCGTCATCTTTGATGGACAAAAATTGGCATGGAAAGAGATATTAAACCAACTGCATAGCTGTGTGGCCCAAGGGCTGATGAAGTGGAGATGGGTGCTGCCTAAATTTACACCATTTAGTGTGGGTAGAACTTAAACCATATTCAAAATGACTGACTGATGATATTGAGGCCTGTTGTACCTGCTTTGTTTCAGCTGACCAAAGACCTGGAGCTGGAGAGGCTGTGTGCAGGACGACAGTGGGTCGTGTGCCCCTGCTCCATACAGGACCAAGAACCAGTGAGACAGGCTCTGGAGCGATTTGTCACATTCCTCTTAAACACTGCTGGAAAGGAGAGTGAGGAAAACAGGGTGTAGTTTAGCCTGGTGTCCCTCCTATTCTAACTCTGGTTTCCTCTTCTGTTTGCCTCTCTGCTTTAATAGGCCACACCAAGTAATTTTTATGGATGATGTCCTCTGAAGACCCTAAATCTAAATGCAAAAGCACGAAAAAAAAGTAAGAGGGGCCGAAAAAAACTAAGAGGCGACAAATGTAAGAACACAAATTGAATGCAACACAGTATAACAACCAACAGCAATAAATCAGTGGAGCAGCAGTTGTCGCCCTGTCCTGTTTCTTTCCTTTCATCACATCTATCATCTTGCTTCCAATCTTGCGAATTGTGGCACTATCGTGACTCTTTGGTCATCGTTACAGGAAGCAGAATTTCTTTTTTTCCTGGGAACAGGCCAAAATGGATGCGCGGGCGCGGGTGTCATCCATAAAAATTACTTGGTGTGGCCTAATCATAGTTTGGCGCTAGTTCCCATTTGAATTATGGCTACATGGCCTTTATGTCATTCATTAATTGGGGTACCAAAATTTATTCCTCTGGAGAAGTAAATTTTGGTACCCCAAATAATGTCACAGGGATCAAACTTTCGTATGCTTCTTTGGTTAACATGCCTTTTCAGAAAAACGTGTGACGTAGCCAAATGGAGTTCTGACATAGACAATCATGTATTTCACTGGAATATACAAATTATATATCTTTTATTAACAGGTTGTTTGAAGCAATGAAAAGAATGAATCAATTAGAATAGGATAGATACCAGGCTACACTGTACAATGTAGATGCAGTGTGCAACACTGCAACCGTAATTTTCAAGCAATGTGGAAAGTAATATTCATCCGGCTAAGTCTTGTGAACACTATGCTGTATCCAGCTGCAATATGCAGTTATAGTTATGATATTATAATAATACATGAGCTGAACAATTGACTTGCTGCGTGCACTTCTCATATGGCTGTTTGTTTGTTTAATTTATATCCATTGTACTGTGAATGTCATACTCCTAGTCTACAACTTTTGTGAGTTGTGTTTTATTTTGCACAGGTTGGAAAGTGTGTATTTGCTGATGGTGTTCACTTTGTTACTGGATGTGTACAAATATGAGTATGACATCTACCAAGTGATGTTGCTATACTGTCCATGCACCTTTTTTCACCCACCTATATATGAGGAAAAACTATGTACATGTACTGTATTTGTTATTTTGCTTTGTAGAGAGCATGTTTTTTTCGACTTAATGTTACAGTTACTGTACCTATTTTTCTAGCACATGTGATACCATTCGTAATAATTCTGTAGGTTTTTGTGTGTTGTGTAGAGTTGTGAGTATACAATGTCATGTCCTTATCCACTGATTATGGAAAGACTACCACCGTCAAAAAGTATTGCCTGCATGGCTGTATAGACTAAGGTTACCAATAATTAATAAATTAATTGATTGGCTGGTTGCTCAATTAATCATGTTTACCCCTCATGAACAGAATCTGTACTAATAAAGTAACAATTTATGAAGTAACAAGTTACAATTTCATAAAGCTTGTAGTGTGGCAGCTGTAACTTTACTCATCTGTGAAAAACAAATAATTTCATATTCCTTGCTGAATCTATTTTTAAAAAGTGATATTTTCTTATTGCATGAGCAACTGGAAATTTTGCAATGGGGCAAAAGTGATGGCAAGACAGCTCATTCTTAAATATGTCGATGAGTAAGGCCACACCAATTTAATTTGTTGGTTCTCGGATTTTTTTTCAGAAAAATATGAAGCGAGCAAAAAAAAAGGGTCTAAATGCTACGAAAGGAGCCATGAAGTTGACACAAAAGGCTGTGTTACTATTTAAACAATTAATTTTGAACTTCTGCATTGATAGATGGAAAACCTGTAACAACTAGGAAGAAAAGGACTTTCCTCAACTGTTGGGGGCAAAATATGAGCATTGCTTAGTTGATTCAGAACCAGAATTTTTTTTTTGCAAATCAGAAAAAAACGAAGAGGCAAATCCGAGATCCAACAAGTTAAATTGTGGCCTAATGTCTGTTAAAGTGAAACAAGTTTTATATACATGTAGAAGATACATTTGTACTTCAGCATACAGTACATTGTAGTGCTTGTACTGTAGTTTGCAGCTGATTTGTGCACTGCTCTTGCTACTCTTTTCTACTGCTGTTCATAATTTTGTAAGAATACAACCATTGTACAAAACTGCCACTATGTGAACCAGTTTTCTTCATTTGCGAGTGACGTCTCGTAAGCCAACAAGATAATGGATTGTTTTGACTTTTTACATTGTGCTTCATATGGCTGATGAGCTATGTGAGTGAGTGAGTGAGTGAGCGAGTGAGCGAGCGAGCGAGTGCATGCATACTTGATATGGTAGGAGGTAAAGGTCTTTGAGACTGTAGGTGCAGTGGTGTTTTGGGCATGCTATTGGGTACTGGACAGCTAGTGGAGTCCTTTCCTTTCACCTACTTTTATGTTTTATGTCAGGTTCCCATTTCACACCTGAGCGGAGTGAAGAAAGTTGTGTTAAGTGCCTTTCCCAAAGACACAACATCTACATGTACTCTGTAGCCATAAATATGTCAGAACCTACAACCTCTCGATCTATCCCGTGCCCACTAGCCTATTCACCCCCCCCCCCTGCAAACATCCATAATGGTTAACATAAGAAGTTAGGGCAGCCATGTACCATGTAGTTTTCCCTGACATATCTAACACAGCCCTAGTCAATTTTAGTCTCAAGCAGCCAGTGCTTCATTTGCTCATGCATTAGGCCACATCAATTTGATTTCTTGGTTAACGGATTTTTGAAGAAAAATAATGGAGCGGGCGGGCGAAAAAAATAAAAATAAAAACAAGCCTAGGCATCCTATTATGGCCCAAAATGGTACGATAGGAGCCATGAAGTCAACACACCAGGCTGGTTCAAAATTTAAACAATGAATTTTTAACCTTTAATGATACCATTGCATTGAAAGATGGAATAACTGTACCAACTAGGAAGAAAAGGACTGTTTTCAATTGTTCAGGGCAAAATATGAGCATTTTGCAGTTGATTCTGAATTTTTATTTTTATTTGCAAATCAGAAAAAAATGAAGCGGGCGAATCCGTAAATTGGTGTGGCCTTAGGACTTTTTTCTAATAGATTTTCTACAAATGTACATAATGTACTTCTGAAAACAAGAGTTATAATAACACGGTAGGAATCAAGAAACAATGGTACTACCATATTTTAACTTAACCTTTTGCCTACCCCATAACCAATAGAAAACTGTTAGCTTGACTGCTACATGTACTGGTACTTCACATAAACACTCATTGTGGAGCCTGCTATGGATGTTGGTGAATCCTACAGACTCCAGACTTAAGTTCAGGTTGGCCCCCCACATTGTAGCACCAGAACCTAAGCCATGGACCAGTGTTGTTGGTTCAAACATCCTGTCTATGGCATTTGACACTTTGGGGACAAGGCCAGCTGATGAATGTGAGAAAGAAACTTAAAGAATGTGCCTGATTTGAACAAAGGAAATGTTCTTTTATAAACTACCTCTTGAATAGCTCCTTCTGAAAATAATATTCACAATATAATTTTGATTTTGTATGATCATATAACTGTCAGTGAGTTTATTTTGCACAAAAAAGCATACTATAATTGTGCAAAGGTAAAGTACCTTTCCCAAGGGCACAACATTGAGACCTATATACATGTATACTACAGCTTTGAACCTTTAGGACTTTTAGATTCAAACTCAGCAACCCCAAACACTAGGCCACAATTGGTTATTACACAATACAGGACATCTCCTCAGAATGTACATTGTACATGTACGTGGTGAATCTAAATGGATTTCTTTAATGAGACGAGAGATCTTGACTGCCCATTCGACACCGTTTGACACTTTCAGGACAAGGTTGGTTGATAAATGTAAAAGGGAAACAGGAGAATAAGGTGCCAGGTGTTCAATTCTCACCTGGCCAACCTGTGCACTTAACCTTTTCTTCATTAGTTTGTGCTTAGCCTCAATAGGCTGAGGACTCCAAGCATGGTACGTAAGAAGACGTACATGTACACAAGACTGTAAGGTTTGAACCACTCACACTGGGAAGATCCCCTACTCTTTTCAATAAGTGTAGTGGGATCTTTAACGTACTCGAGGTGTGGCTCTCCTCAAACACGGGACCACCATTTAACGTCCTATCCGAGGGATGTCCCTAGCCCTAGCCAAAGCTAGGTACTCATTTCCACTTGAGTGAAGTGAGGAAAGTCATGTAAAGTGCCTTTCCCAAGATCGGTGACATGGCAGGTTTTAGAACCCAGGACATCTTGGTTCCGAGTGGCCATTGTGCCACGTGATCCCGTGTAACATTCTCTCCACACCTGTGCATCAGGTGTAATGGTCATAAGAACCTTATACACTGAGTCTTCTGACCCTTATAAGTTGTCCTAAGCTTACCTGTACCTGTTGGCTAATACTTACATCCTAAACCTCTCACCTTTCGTCTAGTGGCTCATATAACCAAATAAAGGGTCTGCCATTTTGTCCAAGGCAAATTGAAGATGAATTTCAAATCATGAAATGCTCTAGATATGATGTTTTATGTAATAAGCTATTCACATCCATTGAATCTAGTACAATAGATTTCAACTGACTCAATGCTATGGACAGATTTGCAACAACTCTTACAATGCAAAAATAGGTAAATACTTAAACTTAGTATAAGACTGTCTTGTTATTAGAAAAAATGCCAAAACTCATGATTAGCCCTGCTTGATTGTAAATTGATGTTTAGTACAAATTATAGGATGTTAATTTTTATTCTATACCCTTTCCTTTTTTGTACTCTGTTCAAAAATATAATAGTCGTTGCCATACGTTGTGCCTTGTACAATTGTCATGCAATAAACTCCTTTATATATTAAGGGGTCACTGGCCTTTCTGGCCCTCCCCCTGGACCCCGTGTTTGTTTAGTATTAACCTGATATCCTTCTTCTCCCACTCCCAGAGGGGAAAACAACCGTCCTATTTTGTCTACCCACTGCAGGCGATTCAAAATATTTAGAGTCTCGGACATAGCTGTGGTAATTGTATTTTGTTTGTACTTCAGGTGTTGTTTCACGATGAAGGGTTCAGTCAGATTTTTTTTGCCATAAAAGTAAGGACTGGTGTTGCTTAGAATTGAATGAATGAATGAATGAATGAACTAGAATAGTAAAGGTACATGCATAATATTCACCTTTGCATATGGTCTGCTCTGTTAATTCTTACTCAAATACATTCATATGGTTATATAGTCAGACAGGAGTCTAAATCCCTCCTGCTATAAAATTGCGACATAATGTAACCCACCACTTGTTACCATGGTGACAAACGTCTGGTCCAGGTCATTATCCTTACTTACTTGTTTGGAGAAGAAGAAACTGCAAAAACAATATGTTTTCCTTCCATAAACAAAATGAATGAATGAATCTAAGAATGTGATCCTCCAGAGTTACCACCGGCTCTGTATTTTTGCTTACTACCATGGACTACCCA